TCGAAGGCCCCGCCTCCGCCCGCCGGGAGCAGGGGGTCCTGCGTCTCCGCCTCTCTGTGCTGGTCACTCAAGTGTCTGGGCCTCTCCGTCTTCCCCGCACGCCTCGCCTCTGCCTCCATCTGCACGCGCACCAGCCCTTAGAAGGGGCCCCATTTACAGAGAACACTGACGCCAGAGGGCTGGGGGGCGCTAACCCCACCCCCGCGCACCCAGGCCAGGAGGCGCCAGCGGGGGTTCCCCAGATCCCGGCGCTCACGCCCGGGACTCCCCACTGGCCAGCTGGCCCGCCTCGACCGGCCTCTCTTTTTCTCTTCCTGTTGGCTCTCCGGAGTGCGGACGCTGCCGGGCTCGGTGCCCGCCGCCAGGCCGGCTGGTCTCGGCTCTGCCTCTAGAGGAGCTGAGGAGACTCCAGGGCGGGAGGCTCTAGTTGTTCTGCTGCTGCTTGTCAGGCGCTTCTGAGAGCAGTCCGTACCCCGATCCCCAAGTTGTCCGCTCTCCTAGCCCTGCTCTCCAGAGCTCTCCTTCGCTCTTGGCAGGCGCCTAAACTTCCTTTCCAGACTTGAAACCTGGCTGTCAGGCATAACTCATTCATTCATTCATTCATTCATTGAGTATTCCCTGGGCTGAAGTCTGAGGACCGAGTGGGGCCCATGGATTCCATTCCCCTGCCCCCCAAACTCAGAAAGCCAAGCCATTGGCTCTATATTACAAAGAAATGTCACTTTCCAGAGGCAAAGAAGAGAGTTCCAGGTTCCAGGCCTCCTGGAGGACCCCCTGGAGGGGATGAAGAGAGTCCAGACAGCTCTTCCCAGCTGAAGTCTAAGGGATGAAAATGGGGGGCAATCCTGAGGAGCATTGAGCTGACTTTGGGCTTCTCAAGGAGCAGGTGGTGGCAGCTGTTACAACGGAATGGGCTCCTGGTGGGATGAATGGGGCAGAAGGGCAGGAGAAGGGAGGAGCTGGATGGGAGCAGAAGGGCTGTCGCACTATTCAGGTGGGAGGACCCTGGATTGGGTAAGATGGGTAGGTTACAGGGCTGTGTGAGTGGGGATTGGGGATGTCTAATGCGACTCCCAGGGATGGAGAACCCCAGCAGAGATGTGGATCCAAAATTCTGTTTTCAGTATTGGGGGAGGGGGAGGGGGTAGTGTCTAGATTACAAAGAGAAAAACTGCAATGACTCTTCGCACTGCATAGAGAGAAAGAGGACCTAGATTGAAAAAGGTTAATGTCCAGGTTCCCAGCCCCAATACCTGTGCCCTACCCCATTGGGATAGGCTCTTTCCACCAAGCTGGACCACACTGGACAATCATTTGGGAAACAGGCCTTATGCCTTACTCCTTACAACCAGACCTTTGAACATGCTGTTCCCTGGGCCAGGATGCCATTTCTCACCCACCCCCATATCTCTACCTGTCTGGGTTGTGTTCGCTTTAATGGCACTCCTCCCTGAGCCCAGCTGTGAATCCATGGAACTTCTCTAAGCTAAGGGATTGGCTTCTGTATGTATTCATTAGTGTGTTTTGTGTCCCGATCCCCCTCCCGCCCCCACACCCCATGACTTCCTTGGGGTGGGTGTGGAGGGAAAAGTGAGCAAGGTGAGCTTCAGGTGACCTTTGCCCTCCTGAGATCAAGTTTCTTTTCTGGCTCCTTCCTCCAGGTCCACAGTGGCCAACCCAGCCTCTCCCACAATATCAATAGGCTGACCCAATGCCAGGCATCACTGGAGGAAGGGCTGACCCATGGGGAACTCCAGGTCCAGCCACCAGACCTTTGCTTCCACATGTATATTCGCCTTGGAAAATGGAAAAATAAAAATAGTAGCTATCACAAACAGAGCTTCCCCAATACCAGGCCCTTTGCAGGTACTAAATGTGCGTGATCTATTTGCCCCTCAAGACTCCTTAAGATGAGAGCCACTATTAATGCCACTTTTCATGATGGGTAAATTGAGTCTCAAAGAAAGGTAAAGCCGCTTGGTGAAGGGTACACACAGCTAGTAAATGGCAAAGGCAGGATTCAAACTGAGGTCTGCCTGGCTCCAAAGCCCATGTTTTACTTCAGAGGTTCTCAGCCTCAGCACTGCTGACCTTTGGGCCAGATAATTCTTTGTGTTGTCCCTAACTGTCTTGTGCATTGTAGCATCCCTGACCTCTATCCTCTAGATGCCAATAGCACTCCCTTCCCCCAAGTCGTGACAGATAAAAATGTCTACAGACACTGCCAAATGTACTGAAGGCCCCAAATCGCCCCTTGTTGAGAACTACTGCTTTAGAGTGGGGCTGGTGTTACAGGAGCAAGAATTTACCTTAAACACCAGTAAGCATTTTCCTGGCCCTCACAATTATGCAGGCCATGCTGTGGTGAAAGCAGAGGAGGCATGCTGATGGACTTCTCAGAGGCCCCAGGGAGTCCAAGCCAAGCTCAGCTGCAGCCACTCTACATGGTGGAACTGCTCCTGGATGCCATCCATACTGGGTAGGCCAGTACAGAGTCCAGAGGAGTTTGTCTCTGTTCCCCTACCTGGACCCAACCTTAGAAGGGATTGCTGAGACCTGGGAACAAGGCTATGTCACATGCTAATTGTATGACCCTGAACATGTGACCACAGCTCTCTGATCCTGAATCTTCACCTGTTGAAGAAGCTGATGACAGACCTACCATGTCAGAGGTTGAGTAACGGTTAGCTGAGATGTGTAAAGCCTCAACAAAGGTGGATATCTGGTGAGGGCTCAGCTCACATTGGCCAGGGCTGTCAGCCTTGGAAGAGCCCTCAATAGTCTCTTGTGATATGGGCATAAATCTCCAAACAGGGCTGGGACCAGAGCAGCCACCCAGAAATGGTACTTACCCTTTCTCCTCCAGGTTTGCAGCCAAGGAAATGGGCCCATCAAGGTCATCAATGGACAGTGTTCAGATTCCTATCCCCAGCATCTGCCCAGGGCTGTTTCTCTGAGGGCTCCCTGGAGGATTTGTCCAGAGAAGGGCCAACCTGACCCTTGCAACCCCTACCCCATCCAGAGGCCATGAACCTGGGGGCGTCCAGACCTCTCCACAGGAAGTCCAGAACTCAGCCAAGCAACCTGGAAAAGGCCTGGACCTCCCTCTGTCCCTGAGGCCCATTCAGCTCTAGGCAGGATTGGGTCCCCTACTTGATCCCTGTGAAGAGTTAGTCCTTGTCCTGGCCTCTCTGCCTCTCACCCTCTTTCCGTTTGTCCTTCTCTGTATCAGTATCCCTGTCTCTGAAGCTTTGGCTGCCAGCGCCATCCCCATCACATCCAGAGCACTGGCCTGGCCAAGGTACAGTGGGTCCATGTTTCTGGAAGAGACCTAGAATGTGCCTGGGAAACTGCTGGGGATGGCAGAGCCTTGGAGGGATAGAGCAGGTGAAAAGGGCACTTGAGACAGGATCCAACCTGCAGCCATGCCTCAGGCCAGCAAGATAGTCATGAGCAGGAATCTCAGCCTTGGGCACTGGGTAGGGGGTAAATAAAGGCAGTGGCCTTGGGGTCAGTGCCACATGGTAGGGAAGCGCCAGGGGGTTACAGGATCCAGGTTCACATCCTGGCTCTGCCCTGGACTTGTGACTTAACTGTGCCTCAGCTTCCTCGTGGGTTATTGAGAGGATGAAAGAGATCTAGCTCATGAAGTACTGGGTGCAAGGCTCAATCTACTTTGGAGTTAATTGCAAAACAAAGAGTTGGTGAGGCCTGGCTAATTGTCCCCAAGTTCTGTCCTGGGTACATTTGTGTTTGGGTGAAACTTGAGAAATACTTGGGGTAGACAAAATGGGGAGTGATTTCCTGGAGTGCAGGGCACAGGGCTTTCCTGGGGCTCTCACATGGGGTATGCAGCTTCCCTGGACTGCTCCAGTCCTACACTGACCTCCGCACAGTCCCTGCCCATCTGAGTCCCCTCTTCTGGCTCCCCTACCTCCTTGAGCTGAAAAGGGGGTTGGAGGAGGGGCAATGTGGGCATTGGTGTTGTCAGGGGCAGCCACTGAGCAACAGCTATCCCGTAGCTCGCAAATCTAAAGGAGTCCCCACGAAACATTACCCCCTCTGCTCTGATCTGCCAGGTCTCACACTAGGTCTGACACCTGGGAACCAAGGGGCTCAGTCACCCACAGGACGGGGAGAGCCGCGGGCCTCACCCGCCTGTTCTCCGTCTCGCCTTCGCAAGCTCAGTCTTCCTCCAGAGAGCACAGCTCACAGAATGCAGCTTGGCCTGTGGGAAACGGTGGAGGCGGGGCGGGGGGACCGGGGATTAGGGCTGAGCCGAGGGTGGCCCCTAGAAGCAGAGAGGGCGGGGAAGAACTGCCAGCACACCAGCGCCCACTGTGGCGCATACGCACGCCCATCTCCCCTAGGCCAGTCCCGGCGCTCGGATACTGGCAGGCCCGCGGCCCCGCCCGGCGCCGCCCGGCG